TTTATTGAATAAGTTTACTACAATATGTCGACACTTACCACGGATTACGTCATATCCCTATCTTCAACAGAGTGTTGTTATACGTGTCGTATAGTACAACAGAGAGAAGGAAAGGAAGATGAAACGTTAGAAGAGAGTGTAAATAGTAAAGAGGAGAGCAGAGGATGATTGAAACCACCTTCTGTTCTGTTCAATTTCCTATCCAGATCGGTCTTCTGTACAACTATTTTTGTAAATAAGCGTACATCTAGCTGGCGCTAATATTCATTCAATCCTTTATTTGTTTGCTCATCTCATTGCGCAGCATTCCACTTTCCAATCTCTTTCTGACTCGCTCATCCAATCTATTCTTCAATATTTGTAAGTTTTCGAAATTGAATGCTTCAAGTAAAGTTTTTTATAATTCTACGCCAGTAGTTCATATAATGCTACACGTACTTCTTCGCAACATGTCATTTACCTCGTCATCGCTCTAAATCTTTTTTCCAACTAGGTCTTAATAGCTTATCGATTAGTAAAACTAAAGAATATTTTATATTTTGAAATTCAGTTGCATGTCAATGCATTAATGGTTGTTAATTGTCCAACTGAACACTTCACCGTACGGAATTTAATGCGGTATTTGTAACGAGAAACTTGAATGAGGTCACCGTTAGGATATATATATCACCTCTATCTATTTCAAGGCAAAAGTTATGGAATTACTTTATACTCCATCGAAAATTCTCCTATTTCGAGAGATCTCCTGTTAAACAAAATATGTCGGTCCAAAATATTCTGGATTGTTCGGGATCTCGTCGGAATTAAAGCATATTTTGGGTCAGTTTTGTTAACGTTCCGCATTATCACCAAACTTTAAAGATCCTACAAAAGTTAAGGTAGCAAGAGAATATGGGCGTGCCTTATCATTCATGGATGACATTATCAGTTGGTTTTGATAATATTTAGATGACAAGTTAATGCTTTTCGGTGAAGTGAAATTTCTAGCAATATGAGGAAATGTTAAAGAGAGGAAGGTGTTATGGAAGATAACTAATGTCAGGGGACAATTCTTGACTCTTTTCCATTTCACTCCTAGATAATTCATTCTAATTTCTTCTTCTGGTATTTTTCAAAGACTCCGAAGTCTTAACTGGAACGGGGACTCAACAGAATCCACTAATTTTAGTGCAGGGTCATTAAAGTAAGAATGAGTATTCGAAGTGAAGAGGGAAAGGAAATGCATATACTATACGTAGGTGGCATAAGATTTAGAGTTTGATTGAAAAAGTTAACATTTAAAATTGATTTGGAAAGTTGGAAGAAATTGCTTAGCCATTTGTTCATTTAACTTCCCAACTTCCTAGTTCTATTGGACAAGTGTACATCAACACGTATAAATGAACATGTAAGCCGACTACATTTATTTATTTGTATAAATGCTACAAAGGCGAATAGAACACGAATAGAACTGCTAACAAAACAACAATATGCATAAGTGTAGGCAAATTTGAGGAAGAATAAAATAATATTTTAATACCACTTAACAACAATATTTTTCCCATAACTGCACCAAATCAAGTTTTAGAAATATCGAGCATCATTCATCCATCCATCCGCTCTTCAAATTTGGTCTTGGAAATTCATACAAACAGATTTACTGGATTTTAAATTGTATGTGCGTAATGAACAAAAACTACATTCATGTACAAAATTTCCTGTGTTAGATAACTGTGTTATTTCGAAATTTTTTTGTGCGCATAAACTATAAATTAAAATATTTCAAAAGGTGAGACATGAGCACTGCAGGATTGAGAACAAGCGAAGAAGAAAATTGTTGGCAAGGTCAAGAAATAAATATTTCACTAGCGTTACATTATATAATATCCATGCCCATTGTTGAACTATAACTATCCATTCAACTCACGTGGACAAGCTGGATATTTGCATTTTCCAATGCTATGAGTGATTTTCATCCCAAACTCTCGGAATTATCTCAATGTGATTTGGTCGGATTTCAATAAATTAATGAAAATGAGAAACGGTCTTGACAAGATACTTTAAATTTATAGAGCTGAGGTAGAGAATTTAGTTTGCGGGTCAAAAAAGCTAACCATAAACAAGTTTGAATTGGTTAAGAACAGTTAAAAAGATTTTACTTATGAATTAAGACCAAAACCCAAAAAATATGTACGAGCTGTTTACTCGAAGATTAATAACAAATTTGCAATGGTTAACAGGAATAAATGGTAATTATAAGTGCCCACAAATAATGCTGAGATCTATTTAGAAAGATATTTGCTCTTATCTCTGGCTCATATTTTATGCATAAAACCATTTATTTCAAAAAATTCTCAACTTAACTAATGGTAATTCCTGAACTCGGAGAGTGGAAATAAAATTTATAAGACCTTGTCTGAGCTTAGAATCCAATTAGATCCCATTTTCTGAACATCAACTTTTTCAAACAGGTGTTTTGTGCATTCTGGTATTATATCAAACATAAGCTCTGAAATATATTTTCCATTAAATTCTATATTATAAAACAAGAACCAGTCTTTGGCTGTACAGAATAAAATTTCACGAATTTTCTTTCAAAGTTTCTTCCTGTAGCTCAAACCGACTGTTGCAGTTATGTCCATAACAGCAACAAAATGTACTCCTGTCAGCAACACATTTGCGCTGCTCACAGTTGTTCATTGATATCTGTAACGGTCACTTATTGAGACTGTTCCTTTCTCTTTTCCATTGATTTCAAATTTAAAACCAATATGGTAGTCCCATCACTAATTTCTATTTCTATGCACTTCAAAAATTGATAAAAAATTTATCACTTTCCGTTTTTTCCTTCTTCAAAATGTGGAATTAGGTTTCACTCTTTCAATCCTTAAATTTACACTTTCCGTGAGAATTTAGTTTACCGCGTGATAGAAAAATAGAAGTAAACTTACGGCTTGTTGTATCCAGCAGTCCTGCACGAGTGTTTCACTCTTCATGTTCCAAACCGCATAGCACCCAACGCGCATATCATCTGATGGTGGTCGGTAGCATCGTCTCATCTGAAACTTTAGTAACTAATAAATTTTGTATTTTTATTGAATTTTATTTATTACAAGGTATGGAAGCTTTTAGCAAAAATATAAAGATAAACGTCAGAAAGACCAACCACAGAACCTCCGTCGAGCAGACTTTTTCGACACTTCACGTATTCTCGTCCGTGAACATCGAAGCTTGTAAGCTGTTGAATGGACGATTGCATGCGATGTCGACGTAGCAGTCTTCAAATGTTTTACAATTGTGAGCGCATGCAATCACTTTGACGATAAGAAGTAGCGAACTATGAAAACAAGGTTCCTTCCTCCCCTCATCCTGGAAATTTGATCAAACAAATCCGACCTGAAGTTTCAAAGATAAGACTCTCTTTATAAATGTCCTGAATTTAAATCTGAAGTTAGGTTTCCATCATATTTGGCTATCAAAATCAAGCAGTGAAATGTACACCATAAGTTCTCACTTGGAATTACGGTATGACAAAGGACGTCGATTCTCGGAGATGAAAAACGGGACTTTTGTTAAACTGCTGGCGGGGAAGGAGGGGGAGGGGGGAAGGAGGAAAGCGAAGGGAGAGAAAGGTGGTGACAAAACAGAGTGAGAAAAACCTTGCTAGCCTACCGATGAGTCCTGTGATGCCGGGTGTTCTGTTTTGCGCGTTCCAGGAAACTATCGATCAAATCAGACACATCCAATTCATCATCATCCACTACCGTATTCCGGCTCAAAGACTTCGTCTGTAGCAGATTGATAGAGAAGAGTAGGATAAATACAAATATTTTGGATAACGTTGATGCTAATGATGCCATTGCAGATTAGTTAATAACAGTACTGCAATAATCATCATAATGGTTAATAAAGTGTCAGTAGTTGTGATCTAACGTAGATCACGAAGAACCAATTGGAAGAGATGAGGAATATAGTAATCAGTCATAAGCCTCCCAGATTGTTGACAACTTCAAAATGCTAGATGGAGTTTTGTCCTTTCCTGTATAGTGTAATGTACTTTAAAGGGCATTTTAGTGTAATGCACTTTAAAAGATATTTTAAAACAGAAATGAAAAAGACGAACTGCTCCTATGGTTCAATTCCATTACTTATCCGCCTCCCAGAAGAGAATTCTTTTTGCTCTCTCTTTGCATAGAAAGTACAACTCTTAATCAATTTGTTTATGAATGAATATGTCATTTCTAAACTAACTTGCAATCAATTCACTTCTATTTTTTATCGTTCAGAACTTATACATCTGTTTTCATTCAGATTTTGTCCTAATTTTCTAATTTATGTAAGAAAAGTCTTGACCACTCTTAATGTTTTGTTATCGATAGATGATGTTTCATTTGAAATTTTGACTATGAAACAATTTCGACTATTGCTATTGTCGCAGCAAAAGGAAAGGCATATAGTTAGCTGAGTTAAATATCCAGCACATAGAGAGAGAGGAAGGGAGATAAGAGATAAACAGATTGAAATGTTATCTACTCTGTCACGTTCTAATACTCTCAACAAAATGTATTTTTCGGGAAGCTGTAGCAATTGTATTTCTCGTACCGCACGGTTACAGAAAAGACGGTAGTTAGTCTTATCTCCGTTCATAATAATTCTTCCACATGAACAAAACAAAGGGATGAGTGCGCGTATAACTGCCCTCTGTTTAGAATGACGCCAATAAATACTGGACAAGGAAGATGTATGAAGTGAATTACTGTAAGGTAGCGAGGAGTTGACAGCGGAGAGATCAGTGGAAGAGATGTGACAGAGAAGGTGGTATCCATGAACCCAGGAGGTCAGGCGACAGAACTGTGGAATGGTTAGTAACGGACAAACATCATCAGGTAAGGTGGAAGAAAGGAGAATGTCTCTTCCATCAACCAAACAGACAAACAGACAATGAACGGGTAGACACACCTCCCACAATGAACTCATAAAAAACAGGAAAGAGGCGAAGTAAGAGGAGGAGTAACAGGTATCTATCTGGAAGTCGAGCAACGACCGCAGCCGGCAACTGTGACGAGGGCGACTTGACGACCCTTCAGAGGAAGGAGGAGCGGCTGACCCCCCTCCCAGACATAACAAATCTTACCTTGTTCGGTGGGCCGCCCACCCACAAATAGTTTAATAGGTAGGGAGGGAAGGAGAAAACGGAAATGACGAAATTCTTGAAGGTGGTTAGAGGGTGTCTGAACAGGTGCTGTCGCAAGGAGAGGCGGAAGAGGTAGAGATGAGTAAACATCATGGCAGTGTAGAAGGAGACACCCGGAAGGAGACACCCACAACGATGCTGTCGTCCTTTCTCCTAAGAGTGTGAGCATCAAGTTGCCTGGAAGACGAAAGCGGTAATCACTCGAAGGACATGCCCGCCATTGTCACCATACCCAGTAGAACAGATCAGCTCTCCTGATTGGTATGTCTGCTTGAAACGTCTATTACTACCATAAATATGTGCGTCATCCATACCAAACCAATGAATCATCCCTGTGTCACCTTTCAATCGGTTGCTTCCATATACGGGAATTCGGATTAAAAATTATTGTCTTTATGATTTCATTATTAGAAATCAGATTTTTTCATAGCTTATACGACATGTCATTTCGAAATTCTACAATATTTTTCAATGACTAGTGCAATAGCATACAATGGACTATGGCCTCATGAATTCAAGGTTGCGGGTAAAACTCTATTAAAGAAATCTCTAATTATCTAATTGGACTAGAGCTACAGTTTCATAATTCCCGCAAATTTTATAAATAAACCAACTGAATTATTTTTGTTCTGCAGGAAATATGATTTACTGAAGAATGTATTAATAATTACAGCAATTTATCATCAGACGTTGAAATTGAATTCTTTAAAAGTGGAGATGGGTCAATTTAACTGACTGGTGGCTGTAAAAGTGGTGCATTATAAATGTTTCTCACCAAACTTGACACAATTTGATCTTAACCTCCAGCTTTGAAAAAATTTTCTGACTCAGTGACTAAGCAGTATCGAAATTAAAATATGTGATAGCAGAGCAATTGAAAGCAAAAGTTTACGGACATAACAGTAACTGCTTGATAGCTCTATATTAATAGAAATTGAAAAGGGAGTTGAAAAATGTGCGATAACGAACGCTCAGTTGCTTAATGGCGCCACTAGCTACTATTTCAAAGTAGATTTACGCTTGTTTGTTTGGATACTCTTGATTTTACTCATGCTGTAGTATGCTGTTAGTGCAATGAGAATGTTTCTGAGTGAGGATTGAATGAGGATGACAGGAAGCAGTTTTTTCTTCGACGGATTCTGTAATAGTGTCGAATCTCAAATGATGAAATCTTTAAACATGCATGAAATTGAACCTTTGAACATTGAACTTTAACTAACATGAAAAAATGTACATGTACAATGGAGTGAAAAAACCAATAGCCCATTTCCTAAAAATATAAAGCACAGTGATTTTCATTCCTTGAAACTTACCAAAATTTAATGGAATCGTAGGAGATAGAAAATTAAATTTTAAAGAATGTAAAAAACTCTCGAAAAATAGCAAGGTAAGCGTCGTCAACATAAAGTGCATGTTTCAAGTCTAGACTTCCACCTACTCTCAAAGAATCACAACCAAAAAAAATTTGCGGAAATATAAATCATTCGCATATCAACAACTTAAAAAACCCTTTTTTCAAGAAAAAAAACTTCGTATATTAATAAACAAGTTTGGCTAACAACTTCTCATTCAAATATTGTAAATTGATACAATGGAGAAAAGTATACGAAGTTTACGAAATTAATTTATTCTGTCATTTTGTTTCCTGGATAATAAAAATACAAATTCTTTAAAGAAGAGAGATCTATGAACTGAGCAAGCCAGACAGCTCCGATCGCATATTCATTTGCATAAAGTTTTCCGCTACATTTCAATAACTCTGCACTTCAGACCATCTATGCATATATATTGACAGCACGCATTGTATTGATAGCCTATCAGAATTACTGTCGTTGAAGCAAAACGATAGAGACAGTAAGAATAAAAAATGTTAAAACTAAAACTGTAATTAAAAATGATACTATTGGAAATGTTACTTAAATTGATGTTCATAACTTCCTGATGGTAAAACTTTAAAAGTAGTGAAAAATGGACTAGAAAATTCCTATATTGTTTAACTCTTCATTGATCAGGATAAAAGAGAAGAAATCGGAAAAAAGACTTTTCGTTCTATGTTGATTCATCCCCTCTGTTTGGAGAAAATTAACAGATGATCATAACATATTGAGGAAAAACATAATCTTTCTATAGTAGGTGAATTGAAGTCATTATTTTTTTTTTAGTAAGGAATTAAATTTAAAGATCCGGTTCGAATAGGAAAGGGCGGTTTTCAGTATCTCCAGTGGTACTGCATTTTTTGTATTACTAAACAATTTGTACTGTTCAGGAGAAATACTGCATTGCATAGTTGCATGGGTGGCGAAAGGAGGACAAATGAGCATAAACGTTGGTGTGTTGGTAGGGCGGAGTGGGGAAAAAGAATTCCGAAATGAGGCAAAGTTAACCCATCTACAAGGTGCTTGTTTTTGCATTGCACTGCTGAACAGAACATGCAAGTTTGAAGCAAATACGATGAAGAGTTTGAAATTCAGGACTATCAAACGGATCAACTATAGGTTGAGAAAAATGTGTTTCTGATGGACTCAGATAGTCCAGAGCATTCACTGATGCATTATGTCGCATCTGTCATGCCTGTACTGTAGCATAAACAGCTGTGTTGCAAAAGCAAGAAGCAAAACTAATTGCTTCATGCAATGCATGCAGTAAAAATCAAAGGAATCAGTTTAAGATTTATTGTCAGTCACTAGCTGAAACTACTAATTGATGTTGAAGATGCATGCATGGCATTCTGCAAGAAGTGTTTAACCACCGAATGATAACGTTCACCTAAATGAAAGTCACAAACCGTTGTATTGAGACAATATGATTAATTTATTGATTGTCGTACTGACAGGAAGTAAAGCTTAAAATTTGAAGTTTAGATGGGAAGCTAACCAACAACAGTCACCTGTTATTAGATGAGAGATGTTGTGGCCACAGAGATATGTACAGGTAAAGCATTACTACTGAAATGGCTTTATTTCTGCAGGGAACAAAAGCGCATTTGAAGAAAAATTGATCTGCTGCCAACAAATTCACAGTCGAAGATTTAGAGAGAATCGGCCTTCCGGGAATGCCGCCCACTCTACTCCACTCCACCTTCCGCCGTTCACAGTGCTAAACAACTCTCATATAATGAAATATTTGTGTAAACAAATAATTCTCTCTGCTCAACATTCCTGCAGCATTTTACTCCTTTTCTATACGTATCTGAAACGTTTTTATTTTAGTGCGTACATGCATGCATGTATGCTTATGGCAAAAATCACTAGACTAGCTGCATGGCGTGTGACGGAAATGATAGCGGCAGGATGGTGCGTGATGAATGGATGAATAAGTAGGAAGGGTGAAGCCGGTGAATGACGCAATGTTTTGTTGTCGAGAGTGAGAAGAACTGGTTGATGAGTTGTTCGGCTTAGACGAGGGCGGAGTGGAGAAGGGATAACACCGCCAAGGGCAATTAGGGAGGGAATCGGCTCGCACACAGATGGCACTGTGAATTCGGTTTCGGGCAAGAAAAGGACATTTCTCGCAACCATTCCAGTGATACAGTTCAAGAATGGAAAAAGAAACCATTATGCATCCGGGAACACCTAATGCTTCTCTCGTTCAGTTCGGTCTTTTCAGGAATCGCTTCCTGTGATCTGTAATTCATTCTACTTTTATAAGTGTGATCTATGGAGAGATAGTACTTCAAGGACTAATAGTTCATTTTCATTCATCTTCCGAATTGAAACATCAACTTTAGCTAGTTCAAACGTTGGCTCAAATTTATCTCCAAACGAGATTTAAATATGTGCATCTCAAGGGCAACGATATGAAAATGTCAAACCCTCCGAAACAGATATTACCTAGACACATATCTATTTGCCATTCTACTAGATAACTCATTTTCTCTAAACATTTGGCAAACAAGTTGAAAGTGAATAAAATTAACTTGAGTTTCGACAGGCAATGTCACCTCCATTATCTCTTAATTTCCTCACACTCACGTAAGGAGGTACTCAGAAAATAATTTTACAAATTTGTTGACTTTTGAGCCAGCGATACTTTCACTCTAGAATTTCTACCCTCACAAAAAATTTCGACCTTCAACTGTCAATTCAACCTGTACATGTCAGTAAAACAAAGTCAAATTTCATGCACAATAACATCAGTGAGGCAAATATCAACGTAATATATTAACAGTAATATTTTTCAAACATTCTATAGTTAATGTAGATGTCTGAAAACTAGTTAGGCATAACTGGTACTAGCTATCGCAAATGATCATCTTTGATGAGCTCACGATGTTTGAAAAAATAAGTTGTTCTGCTGTTAAACCGCCATGAAAATTTTTTAAAAAAAAAGCTGTACCAAATGGAATCAAAGAAATTGAAGAATATTTAAAAGACATCGCATCCAACAATCAATTCTCAAACATTCGATAAATGTCCAGGCCTTTATTATCAGAACAAAAATAATGCACACATGGAAGATTACAGAAATAAATGATATCACAAAAGGAAAAATGTTAGAGAAACTTTTCACTTCTTATCATTTCTTATCTTCTTATTCGATATCATTTTAATTGTATATTCTTTTCTTTTCTAATGTCAGTTTTTTCAGTTATCATGATACCTGTCAGTCTTTTATTTAACCAAACATCGAAATATTTCGGAACTTTCAGATTATCATCAAATGACATCTTATTTAAAGCAAAAGTAAAAAATGAGTTGATTTATTTGTATACTCGCATTAGGATTAGTGCTTGAGGAATTAAAAAAAAGAGTTAAGAACTTTCCGGTTCTAGTAATAAACATAAAAGTATTGAACTTCTTTTTTTGCTTTTGACGCAGTGTTTTGTGGTTCAACCTTTTAAGCCCATTAACTGGTAAACATGATGATTGCATATTCAATAAAAAAAGTGTGTAGGCTTGCAAAATTTTTATTTGTTAGATCGTATCTAAATCTAATAGAATTGGTCTTTTTTGACCTGTTTGACAACTCATTTCATTGCCTGTTATGTAGCATCATAATGGCAAACAGCACACCAGACAGATAAAAATAACGATTAATGGTAATTGTAAGATTCAACACTGCTTTCATGATTCCGACACTGATAAAAATAAAAAGAAGTAGAAGAAGAATAGCGATTATCTGATCTTTTACGGATAAGTAAAAGTAGAAGTACTTGAAATTATGGGTCACGAGATATATCACTCATTCTACCCTGCCAGTACTTAGAGAATTCCTTCATTTTCTGTTCAGTAAAACTGATAAACCATTGGTTTCCATGAAAAATTGAAACTCATTCAAAACGCGTTTCTCTCTCTTTCTCTCTCTCAATTCTGTCACTGTACAAAGCATCTCTGCAGACAGCATTCTCTCATAATAAACAAATTGATTAAGGTTTAAACTATAACAGATAGGTTAAGGTCTAAACTCTAACATAAACTATTCTCTTCCTATTAGTGATTATTATTCTTATTCACATTTCATTTATACAAGGAAGGAGGGATATCTGCGACTCATCTGCTCTAAATGCTATGTTGTCATGAAATTAGTACTTCTTCTGTAATGTTTGTAGATAAGCAACGTATCATTAAGTGGTAACGGTGGAGATGTTTTACTCATCACTGATAAGAATAAACAGATAAACATTTGAAAAGATAGAAACGTTCAAGTTTAACTCTGCGATTAGTGCATCTGCGAGATCAAATCTCTTTTATACATGTAGTTGGCACTGCAAGGAACAGATAGAGAACGGTTGAACTGGCGACCTACTCTTCCTTTCCCTGCCGTAATCAATGCTAATAGCCTTCCTCACCGCCCAGCGTACTCTCCTACTATCAATGGGTACTGGTCAGGGCTTTTCTTCCCTGTGGGTAACATTTTCAAGCCACTGTTTGTTCTACTTTTTTTAGTTCTGATTTTTTGTAGGTTACTAAAGAAAAGTTTGATTTAACTCGAAAACTTTGCAAACTTTTCGATGATGATAATTAACTACTATGAGAGTGAATATTCTCCGGCATAAGAGTGCCTTAATAATCTAAATCATTACGCCCAATTGCTACTGCATCACAAAAACTTCTGTTCGCTCTGCCCATAATAAGCTACGTGCATGTAGAAAATTTTATTCCATCAATAATTTAACAAAGTAGGTACCGTAACTACACTGCTTCTATCATTCAATCTCATTTTCATCACAGTGGGAAATAGGCAGATGAAGAAAATTTAACAAATAGGAATAAATTTAAAAATTGATGATCAGTTAGACTTACATCCCGTTATACTAGAAAATGATTCGCAAAATATTTTATAAGAAAATTTCAAAATGCCAGAACATATAAAGAAATTATTTAACGACAATGTTGATGCGACTAAGAAATACTTTTAAGAAGAGCTATTCATTTTCTCTCCATTCTCATTTTTAACATTTAATAACACATCACTTTTTCTGTTCTTTTACATCAATATTCCTGTAACACAGAAGTAGAACTTCTTCACTCTTATTGATTCTTTGATGTCTTACAGTTAGTTACGTAAATGGGTCTCAGAATCTCATATTTTTTTATTAGGTATTTCTTTCATCACATCTACAATCTATTTTTACATCACACGACCATACCTGATTCCAACATCAAAATTTTATGCATAGTTCAGTTCTGTTGCATCTTTTAAGCAACAAATATGTGTGTTGTGCCGAATAATGTTCTTGTTGGTTTTTCAAAAAGTAAACTGAATATTTATACCAGAATTTGCTATATGCAAGAAAATGTATAATCGAAATCATACGATATTACTTATTATGTATTAATATCTTTAGTAGATAATTTATTCCACTTTTTTAATAGATAATTTATTCTACTTTTTGGAGAGCTTTTTATTCCTTTGCATCACTTTAATCTTTTTCTTTCACCTATTGATTAAATCCCAGAAATACTGGTTAAGCTTGACTTTATAACTTATGATTTTTTCTTTCGATTTATCAAAAATATCGTAGTTTAAAATTCTCCGACACAAATTAATATTATTTGTGATACGCTTGGATGAGTGCCATGTTGAATATAGCGAAATTGAAGTATTTTACCAGTTTTTTCCTCCACTGATTTGGTTTTATATTTGGCTAGACGATAATTAGCAATACTGCTTTACAAGTTATTTTATGTCATACACAATAAATCAGAGAACAAATGAAATTAATATCTGATGAGATCCTTTTGATAAAGAGGATCTCATCAGATATTAATTTTGATAAAGAGTTTATCAAGATATGTTTATCGATTTTGTCCAAAAGCTATTACAACTTTTTGAATGCTATTATCAAAAATGCTACCACATTTTAGACTGGTTCATCTATCCATATTCTTCTGTATCCTTCTATCGTTTCAGTCGAATGGAAAGTTCATTTTTTTAAAAAGAAATCAGAAGTAATGAGGACGACACAGTAAATGCGGAAAGATGTTGATCAATATGGTAGAAGTTTCATGAACAGTAGAATGACTGTTGGAGACATTGTTGTGGATTCCTTCATTAAATGGCACATGGAAAGACAGCGTTGAATATGCCTTTTTAAATTTTCTGAAATAAAGAACGACCTTAATATATGACATTCGATAGCTATGCTGGAATAATAAGAATAGTTATTCATTAAAAGTATTATAAATTTTTGAAATTTCATGCTAAAACGAAATCTTTTTAAGTGCTTTGAATAGTTACAAGATGAAGCATAAATTGAACTGTTAAATTATTTGGTACATGATCTGTATGAGTTAATAGATCTTGCTGAATGACTAATTAAAGAAATCATTGTAACTTTCCGTAGAAGTAAACTGATTATCTAATCTTTTTAATGATGGTTTTTTTTTCCTTTTTACATAATGTATCCTAGAAATGACAACCAAAAAAAAAGCTTCAAAGGGTGCAGGAGGAAAAAAATCAAGAAAAAAATTTTTTGTTTGACAAGCAGAGTGTCGAATAATTTTCGAAGAGCCCACAGAAGTAATTATTTTTTTTTTCAAGGCTAATAATTACGTAATCTGATGATTTCAAAAAGAGCAAACAAATAAAAACTAAGTTTAACGTCCTTGACTGCAGCAAAAAGTTAATTTGACACTTTTTTTTGGTTTTCAAAGGTCCAAGGACAATAAAGTGCTTTTTTAAAAAAGTCTTACACTGACGTACTTTTTCCTTTATTTTCCAACCAATAAAACTGTTGGAAATGAGCAAGTCTATCTAGGAGTAACAATTTCCGTTAGTTTTTTACCAGCCGAAGTTACATATCGAACCCAAATGAACAAAAAATAGGAACAGCCAGTCTTTCTTCTAGTTGGCGTTCATATACGGCTTTCAGCTGATATATCAGCCATTCAACGTGATTGTTGTTAGTTTAATCATTAAGGCTTTCTCTGATTAATTAAGATTATATCCAACACCATCTTCAAATTCAATTCATTACTATCCCATTTCTAGTTTCTATTTTAATTTAGTTATTAGTCAGTCAAGTAATATTTATTTGTGTGTAACCTTGTTTTACTTATAAGGAATTTTATCCCCTCAATCTAAATATGTTGTTTAGTTGGTTTTTCATTTTAGACAAAAATTCCATAAATTTCAGTGTCCACTCCATCTTAAAAAAAAGGTGCCTAAGAAGACAACCGATGAACAGTGGTTTGTTTCATAGGTGGTACGATTTCCAGATCCAATACATTGCAAAGTCAAGTTTGACATATTATTCTCGCTATAGTCATAAAATTTCATAGTATTTAAGTGATACATTGGGTGGTACATTTACCCTTAAGCTACGATGGTTTTAGAAAGGAAAAATTAATGCACTTATACATTCAACATTACCAGTGACTGTCGAAATTTGAAAAGCAAATTTAAAATCTGAAGTGTGTCAAAGTGAAATGCGTATCAAATGGATTAAATTGCTTTTGGTTTTGCTTTAATATGCTCTAAATCAAAATCTTTTGAAAAACAAAGTGCCAAGTTGTATTTGATAGCAACTCAGGAATAACCGTTTCATTCTACTCATTCTGTTTAACAACATTTGACAAATAGCTTTGGCATATGAACATAACACAGTATTTGATTCTCTAATGATACACTGCTGTTCATTTAATTCTAGTTTTCATTGCTGATGAACAGATTACTTCTTGCTTTCACAAGAAAGAATATATTGCAACTCTGAATAAACAGGAGAAAAGATCTGAAATTATTATTAGTAGCTAATCCTTGTTTGACAACATTTTCATTTGGACAGAAAACGATACCTTTTCATGCCTTTTTCCATCAATGATTGTTGCTGCTTTAGCTATCTGATAAACTCTATCTACAAAAAGTGTATCAATAGAATTAGTTATTTTAGGAGGATTGGTTAAGAATCATGCTTAATAGATGGTTACTGTAAATCCGTTTGTTATTATCAACTGCATTTTCTTTTCAAGCGCAGTATAAGATGAATCCTTAACACTTTTATCAAAACATTCATAATAAATATGGTTTGAAATCTATTATTCGCTTCTTTCGTTTATTTAAGTTAGATGAGATTTTGATCCCAAAAAGTTTTACACTTTGTATTGACCTTAAATTACAATAAAATGAGAAGGGAATTCTAAAGAACAATCAAATGATTAACACTGATAAGAAACATTGCATCAGAATGTTGATGACATACCAGGCAATGATCAGTGATCATCCTGTTGACAACAAAGGTGCACGAAGGCATCGTCATTTCCTCATACCTCTGATAGTGGTGATATGTGGCATGAAACGAAAGGATACGTATTATCAAGACTGATATAAGAATAATGCAATTCTGTTTGTTGTAATATGAGAAGACATTGTTCTCACCGAGGAGAAAACACTGTCCAAATATTTCTCATTAATATCTTTCATAATTTGTCAGCGGAAAGAGCATTTTTAATGACTAGGAGATTTTCATGTAGACATGAAGATATAAAAAGATATGAGTAACTATTTTATTTTCCTTTCCTTAACATTTTTTCCTAACTTTTTTAATTTATTATAGCTGAAAGTTATTCAAACTATTAACTGTACTTTCATCTTTATTATATTATAAAAGCATCTGTGTTTTCGGTTTATCAGATAAGTCACCTCACATAGATAAAAATTAGCGTTGTACAGAAATGCCACCAATGACAATTTGAACTTTCAATTTAATCCTTTCAAATTGATTTAGGGAAGTTAATACGCTCAATTCTGTCTAAACATTGCATACAACTAATTTCAATACCGTAATCTATTTCTTTCCACTTTTGATTTGCTGCTGTGCACAGATGGAGAGACAACCAAAATAATGCAAAAACTTTTGTCGGAATGTTCAGAAGAGATTTGAGAACGCATATTTTACATCGTTTTCATTTTCTTGTTATTGCAAATTTTGTTTGACAACTATAAATATATACATGCGATGAAGAATGGTGAACACTCAAGAATACTGTAAATCCAATGATCAAAGAGTATTTTCCTGATCACACGATTATTTAAAGATTCTCATGTTGTCAACTGCAAAACAGAAGTATAGTACTGTACAGATAAGAAGTGTAATTTAGATTTTATTATGCAAAAGCCAATCATATCTCTTAACAGACAAAAGAAAATTAACTATCTACCGCATGTGACATTCATTTCTCTTACATACGTACGTTGCTTCACGCATGTGTCTATTAATGTCATTTCACTCCCTCTGTGTGCAAGTATTATGCCACTATTTCTTTTGTGTCTAATATTTATTACTAAGAGATTTATTTAGACTACCTAATTTTGCTTCCTTTCATCCTACATCCTTGCCTTTTTTCAAATTTCAAACTAATTATATCTCCTAAGCTTTCATCTTTTTAAAAATTTTATAGTATTCCTTTTTTCCCTTCGTTTTCTTTGCAATTTCAATGATTACACCAAAAAATTTCTGACATTTGTCGATGGTTATACCAAAAATTTCCTGACAATTATTTGATCTTCTTATCAGTACAACCAAATTCAAATTGTTCCTGTTCGTCAATTAGTCAAATGTGATCATTTTCTGAATAATCCAATATTGAACGCATTGCACTTAAATAACTCATATCAAAATCTCTTTTATAGCAAAGATCATATTCAGCCTAACTAATTTAATAGTAAGATTCATAACTGCATAACAAATCAATCATGTCATCGTCCTTTTTTGACATTTTTGTGGAAGAGAATAGGGACCATTTCCTTGGCAATCTAATCTGTGTTTTTTTTTTTTTTTTGAATCTCTGAAGTTTTAAATGCCACGGCAATCTTTTCCTGTTTAAGAAATTTTAGAATCTATAGTTCTTATAAAACCCTCTTCAGGAAAAAACTTGAAAAACCACAGTACTCAGCGGAACTCCAGTCACACCTTGAACTGATCGATCAATTATTAGCGCCTTGCAGAAGTCATAAATTATAGACAACATATTTTTACATTTTTATAATATTTAATCAATTCCTTTATTTCTCCATTTACAAATCGTCCAAGTGCACCACTGACCAAACTTTATCGATCTATATAAAATATAATATTTTAGCTTTTCTTTGCAAGAATTTGATTAACGTTTTAACAAAACTCATCTTTCAAAACAAGAATTTTAGATCTGCGAAATTAATATGACGATTTTTAGTCGGAGTGACATTGTCATGAACTCTATTAGATCATCTACATAATATTTGGACCTGACTAATATCAACAAAAAATTGAAAAAAGGCAGAAGAATAGTTTCCTGGACAGATCATTTATAAATTAAATTAAGAGTAATTAATTATACGCATACTCATGCAACGTGATATAGATCTATTAACATTTAAATAATTTCAACCGTCAAATTAAAGCATTGAAGTTATCGGCATTTCCAATATTCATGCAAAGAAATTTTAACGACGCTATTTTTGATCACCGACGATAAAATAAACACGTTTTGGTCACAATTTACACTTGTCCTGTTTTTACATGTCTATACCTTTCAGCGCTCGTCTAAACTTTTCAAATAAATTCTGCATTAACTGTCACTGCTGCACTGCCAATTTCTCGAATAAGGTGACGGTATAGATATATATATAATGAATGTTGACTGCACCATTAGCGAATCATTTCAGAAAAGGACTGATGAGAGATGAATTCACATCCATTAAATCATTCATTCTTTTCTCGAAAGAAAAGTTAAAATCGTTCGTCAATGAAAGGGATTTTTTGCAGAACATTATTTGACTTCAAGAATATCAGTTAAATTATCAAATCTGGGCCTTTAAATTTAGTTGTAAAAAATCTCACTATTTCAAGTTATTGCGAATTTGGAAAGAACGAGAAAGGTAAAATAATTAATGAAAATAAAATAATGAATGTACAGTCCTCGGAAAGACTTTTGTGTGGAGTGAAGTAAAATGCAAGATTGATGAAGAGAAGTTTGTTCGAAAAGTTTCCAGTAGCTGTCAGATTTGCCGATATATAATGAATGAAGGAAGAAGCGAGGAAGAAAAGGAAAACTACTGGATTCGATGGTAATTCGACAAGGATTAATGTTCACAATCAAATATCAATTATTGCAATTTTCTCGAGACTAGCCGAATTTGAGTCATTGAGAATGAAAATGAAAAATTTCGACGAGAGTATAAAATTAATAAATTATAATTAATATGCTGAGAAAGTCAGAATTTACAAACGAATTCGGGCAACTTATTTTCTTGCATTTTGCATTTGCATACAAAATCTTCAGGATTTTCATTTAAATTGGACTTTATTTGTCTCTGCTGAATCATTTCAAAAAATGTTTAGTGATTTCATTTTGTATTTCTCCTTCTTCATTACTCTCGCCAAAAATGTTCCAATTGGTAAAATTAAATTTACACATAGTTTTATATTTTCTGAACTGTTTTTCGAGTCATTTGTATGTTGCAAAGCAGTTATAAAATGTTTTTTAAGAAATGTCAACTTTATTTAGTATTTTTTATGAATAAATATAAGAAATATGCCAAGGATAAATGCCGGGGATTTGTTTATTTGTGCAAAATAGTTTTTAATAATACTGTAGATCCGGTTGCATTTTATCTTCCGAAAAATTCTGGATGATTAATATAACACATTTTCTGTTATCTGCTCTTGAATTTTAGCATTGAAGGGAAAAAGTAAAATAGGAAATAAAAAACAACGGCAATGTAGATTGCGCCAATTGGGAAAGAGGGAAGGCTTTCCCTCATCCATTTATGTTCTCAGTTAAGTGTGCATAAATACAAATTTCTGATCGTTCATATTCGATTTGATTTTCACAGTTATGGTCATAAAATATTTCAACTGTTTTCAAGTTTTCCGCAACAATTACAGATACATCAGGCAACAGCAGCAACAACAGCACATTATTGGAGCGCAACGTCTCGGCAGGTCAGGCCTTGAACAGTAGAAATGTTGGTTGATGAACTCACATGATAAGAGTCAAATTATACTTATCGATCTGGTCAAATCCAACATGTTTCAGAAAGTAGTCTAACAGTGAAGCTAGAGAAATCAAAGGGTTCAGAACGCATGCTACTTAGAAACATTATGGAAGGTCAGCATTTCGATTATTTGATATGTCAGACCTGAACTTTTCTCTTATTTAACATATTAGTTTGAGTGACCCAAAAATAAGACTTAATTATATACTTTATAAATAAGAAGAATATTAGCAAACTATATCAGTCATGACAATGCTCATGTGAAATTTATCTTTGTACCATGAAGTTCCTACATAAAGTGTTCTATTTTATGCACTTTATATTATTTTAAATCCAGAATTGGCAGAAAGAAATTCTAAAACAGTTCAGTAACCAATTCTAATATAAAAAATGCTTTGCAATTTGTAGAAAATTTCTTCGAGTTAACGTTCATTCCTGAGCTCACTCCAACCTTAATTGAGGAGCTCAAATGGAAGCGTGTCATTCGCAAATCCAGAAAACAGGTCAATACAACGACAAGAAAGAAATCACAACATATCAAGAAAACATTTATTTATCGTGGAAGTTTCCTTACATTCTGTAGCACTTTATTTGGGGCATACGTGTTGTTGATATTTTTGATTCAGGTCTGTGGATTCTTCGTCAATACGATAATAGCATAAATTTTTTCCATTTAGTAGTAACTTTTGGACTTGTCATTCTTAATCAACTGGAAGAAACAAAGGAAGTTGTTTTGTTTTGAAATATTTGAGATTTTGAAAGCTCATATTGCTTAAGTCCGTCTCACTAAAACTTCTCTTGGCATTGTTTCGTATATACTGTACTCTTATTATACGATCTCATTACATTAGATTATTTCAAGAACTGCTCTGAACTTCATCAGGTTTGGATTCTAATGTCACGGATAGAAATTAAAAACGGAACTTGGTCACTTAGCCCAGCTGAAAAAATGACGTGGTGGTTTGACGAGGTAAATACTTTTCAAGATTATATTTAACCAGTGATTTCTGTAACATAGAACGGTGTGGTAGATTTCAAAGGAGAAAATTTGAATAGCAACAAACAATAAATAAAGGGTCCTTATGTAAATTCCACACTTTTTTACCAGCAAAAATAGCTTTTACAGACAATGAGAAGTATGAAATGATATTTCTTAGTTGGAAAAAAAATTTTTCAGGTGGAAAACCTGGGCGACGAACTGGTAAAGTTTTGTACTAATTTTACATCAAAAAATAAGTATTTTTAAAATTATAAATGTGTGATAGAATCCAAGTAAGAAGAAACTGATTAAGGCAATGCCCGGAAGCAATACGAAATCTGCAAAACTTCTACATTAATTCATTCCGTTAGTCCTTACATGGAAAATCTCGACTTAAAGTGAACGCAATGAACACATCAGAGCGGTAGTGCTTGATATGAACTTGAAAAATGAGAGAATAAGCTAAACTTCAAAAAAAAAAAAATTTTTTTTAAAAGAAGAAAACTAAATATCGAGGTGAAATTTGCAAATGCTCAAATGCTGAATTCTCCCATTCATGTATTTTGTATGGAGACTAAAGTAATTTTGGTAAAAATTCAAAAATGGAAATGGTCAGAGGCTAAAATTTAATTTCTACCATCGTGATACCTGCAGCAACTGAAAAATAAAATTCAAATTTACAATTTCATTACAAGTACACTTTCAATCAGTTAAGCTTATTACTCAATGTAGTTTCTATCTAAATGATTAGTTTTAGAATTTATTCGGTATCTATGACTATGATTACTGAAATAGACCTCACTTGATAACATAGATAAAAAAGTAAAGCTAGGCTATCATTACTCAATTTTTTTGTCACTACCATTACTCACAGCTAGGGACATTTGGCACACGAAGCAAAGGTAACTTAAAACTTTCATCAATAAAACAAGACGGTTGATTGATGAAAGAGTTACTTATTGACTTACAAAGTGTGCAAGGAGATCGAAGGTCTGTTCTTAGGTAATTGGTTTTGTGCATAGATTTGTACGGATAATTAATAAAAATAAATGGATTGCAACAAAGAATATCCATCCATCTGCTTGCAATATGATTCACAATAATTCATTAAACCTGCAGGGAATCGATAAAATGCAAAGAGATAGTGAAGGATCAGTCAAGAAGAGTGACCTATCAGAAGGTAAATCCTTACTTATTTTTGATTTTAATCTGTTGATAATTTCCTTTTTAATTCTTGTCTAAATTATTTTAGCTCACTAAAATTCATATCTGCAGCTTCATTTTTTTTCGCACTATACGAGATACAAAGAAGATGAAAAAAAAGATAAAAAAACTGTTCTTCTAACTAGATTTTTATTTCAACTTACTAGCCGATATTTTCAATAAGAAATGAAACTTCATTGGTAAGTGCAGAAGGAATATCATACAAGGGAAATGACAGGCAATTATCAAAAGCATAAACATTTGTAATAAATAATATTTCCTCAGGTTTGAATATGTACAAGTGTACAAACACACACATGTATATGTATTCATTTTGCTGTAGTCATAGACAGCTAGAGAGGATATACTTTAGATGACTTTTGTTAGTGTCGTAGTCATTCTATTTATGGCGGTCGTCTGCTGTGACTTAACAACATAAAAAAAAGAAATGGATTTAGTTGAAGGATGTATAAAAACTGCAGTGATTAAAGCTATCAGGTAATTAATTAGCTTCTGTGAGTGGACATTTTTGAGATTTTAATTGTAGCAATTGATTTTTGGTATGTTTTAAAACATGAAAATTAATACGAAATTTTATTAGTTTTAATGTAGTTATTGTTGGGATTGGTCCCATTTTTTAAAGAGATTGACGTCGTTACTGGTACATAATTGTTTCATACAAACTCTTCATTTAGACTCTTTACAGTTTTACTGACAATAATTGTGAGAAGAATAAAATTCGGAAGGATTTTTATTTCAATTAATACTTATTATGTTTCTGTTTCGGGCCGCACACATGGAACGATTAACTTTAAGCTCATTTCACACTTAATTTTAATTTCAATTATGGTTGTATAATTCACCAAAGTATTCAAACCCATTTTTTTTCTCACTAATATTAGGGGCAATAAAAATTTCATGGTATATTTAACCATAAAGGCTTTTCTATTATTCAGCCATCCGTACTTGAATTTTTATATCACGTACGACGATAAGGAACTGGACAATTGTAATACTATATTCTACTCAGTGATTTATGCAAAAATCATTAGCATACATAAATGAAAATAACTGAATTTTCTCTACTAATTTTAATTTCGCTATCAATTACTTATTTAGTTTCAATCTTTATTTTTTATCAATTATCACATCACTTTCTAAAGTAACAGCACATCAAGAATTTTGTTACTTCAAAGCATTGATATGTTTAAAACACTTTCGACTTTTGGAATTTTTGTTTGAAATTTTAGCACTTCTAATAATAAAATACTTCTCCAGGTGTATACTGAGAAATATCGTCGCTTTTGTAACTAAGAATGATTTTATTCAAATGTACAGAATTTATAGCAATTTAATACTTATATCATGCAAGATATGTATGAGTGCAGTTTTTCATGAAATTCAATTTTGCTGTCGTTTTTCAGCATAAGTGAACGATCGACCAGAAAACTAAAACTTCATGGAAAAGTTATACATACCAGATTTTTACGAATTATAGCTATACACAAAAATCAAAAAACTTTTTGTTTTTGATTTCATTCTTCATGTTAGCGGCTAATTATATACACTAATATCTTCTAACGATCGCAATCAATTGAAATCCAGCACTGACAATATCATTTCTCTCAACAAAATATGAGAGACTACCACGAACCACAACAGTAACATTTTCAGTAGCTGCAGTTAATAATTTGATTAATGACTTACAAACGTTCTATACAATCTCATGAAGCCCAGCAATGTCGTGAAAGTTAAGATGTCTGACTCTTGTGATTAGAGTCGAAACCTTATATAATAGAATCAAATTGGACTTTCGTATACTCAAGAGCCTTTTGTTTGTTACTGTAGTTGGTATAAACGAATGCATCGAGCGAAGGTTCTACTGTAACAACTTTATTCCACAATACATAGATATTAATCTACAGCAACAATACACTGGGACAGGATGAAGATGGGGAGCTTAAAGGATTCAAATGCACTGAATTAAATGAGTGCAGAAGAACAGCCGAACAGTTACTTGCTGGTACAAAAAACTGACCAAGACAAAAGGTCTAAATCCTTATATAGTGAGTATTGACTTGTAAAAGCGCATCAATACATTGAATAAATAGTTGTCAGATGATCTTTACTCTTTATGTGGTACAAGATGGGTTTTAATATTATTAGTTTCTCATAGTAATGATTATTAGATTAGAAAACCTTTACGATATTGCAAGCAAATTTGGTTTGAAACAAAGGAAATAAGGTAACAATACACACATCCTTTGTTAACAGTTGAAAATTGCTAGACAAGCAGACAAGCTCAACTACAATGGAAAGATGAGTGTTGGGGATGATTGCTTACATGATGCATCCTGAAATAGTTTTACAGTTCATTAACGAATGTTTAATTAAGACAAATTTCAGTAATATGGATTAATACAATTTTGTTTGATATTGTAAGTATGCCAAAATTTAAGTATTGCAAATGAATGCCCACTATGTAAAGGATTTAAATCCTTAAGTTCCCATCAATTTATTCGTACATACTCTACGAAATTATCAGTGTATGCTTGTTATAGATTATACTTACATATACTTACAAAGCATATAAATAAATTTGAAGGTTCGCAAAACTTGTTTCGAGTTTCGCAGCAAGCAGTTCGTTATATAAGTCTTCAACAAAAAGATTTCACTATTTTATTAATGAACCTCCTTCAACCGCGTCAAGCTGTAAAATGTGAGATTTTTTTTTTTTTTTTTTTTGTCAATATAATTTCATCATGTTTTCAAGAAATATTAGTTATTACATTCAAGAAACAAGGCAATGTTTTGTACCTAATGTATACATAATTAAATTTTATTTTACAAAATAAGTCCGCAATATATGAAGTATACCATTACATAAATGATTTATTGAAAACTGTCTCGCTTTTGATGAGATCAAGATGATTTGCTAAATTAGAAAGTACTGGAAACGATTATAAAAATGCCAATGTTGTGTCACAACAAAATCATCCTCAAATTTCCCCAAGAATGTTAAATGTGTTCACAACTGTTATTGATAACTTGAATCAACAAGAAGCAAAATTTTATAAAGGTAGACAAAGAATGATGATCGCTACAGTGATGTCGGTGCTTTTTGCTAAATATGTATTTGGCATAAACCGTTCAAAGGAGATGTTTGGAGTGGAGAAATATAGATTGTAGAAAGATAGAATAATAAATAAAGAGTGAAATTTGACTGCCGTTTTCGCTAATAATCCGTTCTGGGAATGAAATTCTTCCACGAGTCTTGAGAACTGTTGCATATATAAAAGTCGCATACGCATACATACACACACACACTATTATGAGAAAAGAATCAGCATCTAATTCTCTGATTTATAAAACCTAAAAAAAAACGCCATTCCTCAACTTTTTTACTACAAAAAAAAACTATCTAAGAGAACAACGTGGAAGTCTTAACCACTGGCAGAGCTTCCCGGTTTAGTACGAGAAATCTGCAACTCATGTAGTCTTCAGCCCTTGTAAAATCTTTTTTTTCTAGACAATATTTTAAAAAAAAAAAAAAAAAACATATCTCAGGCAGAAAACAAACAAGACTCCTACTTAAATATAAATCATCACTGACAGGAACTGAAAGAAATTTCTTCTCTAGACTACTCTAGTTGTAACGCTCTCCAGATCACAAATATCAGAAAAGAACGTATCATTTCACACATTTAAATTGTAAAGCTTCATGAAAATTCGATGCCTACAATCTGCACCTCTTTCGGACAATTCAGCACGATGAAATTTTGGCCACCATGATTTTCGAGGATCCCACTGCAAGAGCAATAGACCATCATCTTGCACAAGCTGCACCACTGCCCACAGGAACATCCAAGCACAATCATTCCTCCTGAATACTCATGAAGTTTCCCGCGTTGTATAATATTAGGAAAACCAAAAATTTAGAGCCTTATTTGCAATAAAATGTTAACGCTAACAGGGACTTGTCAATAATAGACCTTGCAATTTAGTAATGAATTTAAATAAATTTCGCATGTCAATATAAGCGAATTTAAAAAAAAATAAAACTAATAGATCTGGTTTGATCAAAGAATGGTGTTGCTGAATCCTGTAAACAGCACAAATTACGCTAATTAATCACATAAGTTTCACAAACCTATTCGTTCCATAATCCAAAAAAACGAACAAGGTTTTGCAAACAAGGCGCAACATTTCTCCTGAGAGGTCATAATCGTGAGGATTCAGAAGTCGCGGTTTTAACCAATCTAATAAAATCGGATGCGAAATAAGGGTCCATTGCGGCAAAATCTGAAAAAACATCATTAGATAGCTGTTTCACTTATGTTTAACCACTAACAAATAGCAGTTCGTTTTTCGAATTATATAAAAACATATGAACCCAGCTGGAATGAAATATCGTTTTAATGGATATGGCATCAAAACAATACAACTATATTAAAGACAGGAAAAAACAAAACTTACAACATCAAGCAACCAATTAGCTTCATCAGTCATATTATTTAATAGCAAAGCGCGGTAGCAATCAACAATCATGAAGGGCGTTTTATGACAACATTCCTCCAAAGCATTCATTAATATATCAATTTTTCCAACAAAATGCAAATAATGCACTGCTGTATGAATGAAAATACTCGCCTGACCAGATTCCACATCCTAAAATGATAAGCAACTCCAAAAACTATAAATAATCCTAGCTAAAAAGAAAAGACGAAAATTTTCTGCAATCCTCCACCTTATACAACAGATTACTAAGTGTTGACAAAAACAAGTGGACAAAGTTTAGACATATATCATACAGAATAATGCAACCGTTGCAATATTAGCACTCTCTTAATTCTATAGTCCTTCTAAAACAAAAAATAGTGACAATCAGTCATATCCTCACCAAAAACCTAATCATTATGTTTACTGATCTGAAGGAAACTATCCGGAAGGTAAGAGTGCAATACACACTAGTACGCAAATAAAATAAAGCTTAGCATAAGTTACGTTTAAATTCGGATTATGTTTGTTTCTCTTTTTTAGGTAAAGTGAAGTCATTTTAATATAATTATTAACTTTTATAGTGCTAAGTAACCATACCCAAAAATTTCAGTATAAAATTATTACTTCTGAATCAGCTATTAATTTAATCATAATACCCACGCATTTTACGAACTCAATTACTGTAGCACTAATTTATTGATCTAAAGTGAAAACATTTCAAAATCAAATTCATAAGTTTTACCAGTAGAGCTGCAATGATTTCATCCCCCAGATCAAATGAACTGCTCTGCACTACATCTTCTCCTCCCAAACGCCAACGTTCATAACGAGACAATACTTTGTAAGATCGAAGGATAGTAACATACTGAAATTGGACTGATCACTGTAAATGAGACTACCGAAAGAAAAAAGTTATATAATAAAAATGCCCATAATATGGTTAGTCTACTATTTTCTTTTTTTTTAATATGCTGATAAACTAATCTGCTATTTCACCAAATTCTTACAGATGAAAACTTTTACACTATAAAAATATAATCGACTGAAACCTTGTGTTTTTGAGCGACAGATGGCAAGGATGAAACTGTAGTGACCAAATCTTGCATTTCCTGTTTCTGACCATTTGCTATCGCATATATAAGCAATTCCGTGATATAAAGCAATGAATTATTCTCAACGTCAAATGTTAAATTCTAAAATCGTCAATTACTTAACATGATTGCATTACTGCCTAAAATTAAATAATGCAGTGAACTGAATGTGTGCTAAACTCCTTTTCTCACTCACTTTATTTTCTCTGGATACGAAAAGAATATTACAGCAAGACAGACATAATACGAGGTAACCGTGATATTATAAAAAAGCTTGCACAGTATTTTCGTTCAGCAGCAATCAAGACAAGCATTAATTCTGCTGCCGATTTAGTTATCATATCACGTGGGATATCGTACTGCATAAAGCGTTCAACACCAGCTCGAAATATTGTTGAAGCATATGGAAATAACATCCGACATGTTTTATCTAAATTACCACCAAGTTGCTTACGGAACGCTTCAGGAACGTCTCGCAAGTTTTGTCGAAAAGAAGGCAAGAGACCTGAAAAAATACTACTAGCAATGAAAAATAAAAATTCGAACACAGGAATGAAAGAGTTTCATTCATTAAAAAAATTTCAAAGCTAGCGCTCCCTCAAAGAAAAAGACATTACTAGCAGTGAAACGAGAAATCAAATGTTTTTTTTTTATTTTTCAAAATAACATTTAATTTCAAGATACAAGAACTTTGAAAAGTAAAACTTTAAAGGCTGTCAACATTTGGACGATTAATATAATTACCTAAAAACACGCCAACTTTCGACCAGTCTTGATTTAATACTGCTTCTCGAATTAATATAATTCGCTGCTTGAAATCATGTTGACGTACTTCGCGATAAATACCATCTTTTTCTCTGCAAGAACGAGAATTTAATGAAGAGAAAAGACATAAAATGAATAAGATGGAGTAATTGGACTACATCTCCGTTTGTTTTTATAACCAGTTATTGATAATCCAGTACTTTAAACTAAAGTAAGAACAGAGAGCACATTATCTTGTCATGTTAATTCAACGTAGTCAAAATTATTTCACTCATTGATTCATCCTTTACTCCTCTTCAACAATCATCAGTACCCAAATTTCTGTAGAATATCGTTTTTAAGCAAATGTCGACACTTCAGCTTATAAACTGATATTAAAACTGTCTAGTTTATATCGTTGTACTTTTTAATCATGAATCTTCTGCTAAATGTTCAACTGTCATACACCAAATTTAAGGTAACTGAACATTGCGTCAGAACATAGAAATCAGAGCGCAACGAAACTACATTTCATATTTCAGTTCTCAACAATGAGTAATTCGATGAATGAAATACTGAATCAACCGAAAAAAAGGAGTCATAAATTCTTCCAACCATTTCGAATAATCGAGAGAACATTCCAAATCATCTATTTCTACGAACCTAAAAACGGATACATTTTTGACACTTTTTTTTTTGTTTTTATATAATTCTATTGAGACACTCATTGCAAAAGTGTAGTCAGCTGATTTTCAAACCCGCTCACACTTTTGATTGTTATACTTGATATGAATCAAAGGAAAACATAGACGAAGCTGCAAATAAATTAATGAAGAAATCTAATCGACATTGCTGATTTTTTCAAATGATTCAGTGGGCTTCCTTTTTTTCTAAAACCATTACGGCGATTTGAGGTATTATTATAAAAACATAAGATTGCTTAACATGAAAAGCTGTATCTATAACTTATAACTGAAGAAATCGTAAGTTATAATCTTCAAGCCATTCCCTTCCCTCTGCTATATCAACAACTTATTAATGTTTTAAAAAAATATTCAGCTTTGCCCATTAATATATAACACTATACCCTCAGCTTTTAAGAAACATTCAAGAAAATGCTATATAGCACTTCAATACACCAATGCCCCTTAGTTCGCTCGCTAAAAGATATTCCATATCGGATTTCATACGTTTTTTTCTCTTTTTTTTTTTTTTTTTTTAATAAAAGACAAATAAGTACAGTTCCAACTGGAAAATTCTTTTTCCAGAACCTCGTCTACTGAAAGAAATTTGGAATAGTGATGTCATTTCTTTAATTGGAAATTCTGAAATCAATGACGTATAAATCTACTAAATTCTCACATGTTTAGAAAATTGAGGTTACGTGGTAGCCCATACAACCCTTTGTTACGTATTACAACTTCTAGCTTTCTACACATCCAACGAGCAGCACTTTCTTTGAAACGTTGAAAACATGCATCCTTGAAACCATATTTGATTGCAATGGCAAACAAATCACTAACGATCTAAAAAGCGTCTTAAATTCAAGTTGTACTAATTGAATATTCAGCACTAATCTTTATCAATTACTTATTAGTTTCGCAATGATTTCTTTGACACGAAAAAAACAACGCATCTCAAAACAAACCAATACACCGATTTCTTGCTGTTCAAGCCGTTTCATAAACAGTAAACAATATTTATTGAACAACTCCAACCTTTTTTTTTCTGCAAATTTAATACGAAATTATAAACAGAATTAAAAACTCTTTGACGATTAAAATGGGACTTGTTGGTGATAGAAAGAGCAGATCATAAGCATAAGTTACCGCATCTTCATTTCAAACACTTGTTACACTCATGAACCATCCGTATCTCATTCCGCAGTACAGTGATGAACTACCGAGAGCTTCGCTGTCAATCTTTTAATAATCACTATTTCAAATAACAAACATCTGGTCCCTAGAGAAAATACATAAATACAACTTGAAAAACAAATTACCTTCTTCACGATTCCCAGAATGAACCACACGTGAAGTGCTGCACATTCCTGGTATTCACAAGAACTACAAACTACTAAACTACCACTTCACGAAAAACCATTGCACAAAACTTTTTTGACCCTCGTCCGCTAACTTTAAAAAAAAGATGATTTTTGGGACAATAATCTGTCGTAATGAATGAATAATCAGAACTAGTACCTGCCGTGAAATTCAAAATTCCAAATTTCTAACGTTACTAACATCATATTGAATCGATACAGCTGACATAAAATTCCATGTCATAATAAGTACTTCATAATAAACGAGAACTACTATGAAATGTTGCCAAAGCATTTTACAAGAAATTTATACGACACATGTAAATTTATACGACACAAAACAAAACTGACACTATTAACCAATGAACAAGGGGGTTTTAAGCTTCAATTTCCTTATAATTTTAAGGGCCAAAACCAAGAAAACAGGATAATATTACACTGATAAGTTTTTTTCTTCATAATTCAGAGGCAGAAAAACATACTTCTCAGAGCAATTCTGCAGCAGAAAGAAATACAAACCAACAACATTCAAAACTACAAATAAAATGTAGAATATTAATGAAAACCAGAAAATGATGCACAAAGAAGTTTTAAATTGCTGAAATAAAAAATATAAAAAGGAAAGCTTTTTAACAACAGGTGCCATTAAATAAGAATTGAAAGGATAAATCATTAGCAAAATTCGCCAGAAATTCTAGTCAAAACACATGAATCAAACGCCCTTCTTATCTTTTATTCATAATCAGTAATCTATGCCCAAAAATATCTCATTATATAGATTACATAGAAATAAACATAATTAACTGGTCAAGATACTGGTCCATTTTTCGAGTAAATGCTTCTTCCATATCTTTAATTGCTTCAGCAAGGGCTAACCAAAGACGATCTTCCAAACCTGGATCTTTTTCGATTAACATTTTCGTAACGAAACCAAACGTTTCACGATCTGCTTTAAATGCCTGCAAGTGTCAAGCCACCTATACTATAAGTTATTTAAGAAAAAATTTTTTTTTGCATAAAAAGAACAATAATCTATCTCATCCAACCTCGATTTTAAAAGTTTCACATATCAGAAGACAGAAACAGCATTGAAAAAAAGTAACCCCTTCAAGTTGTTTTTTCTTTGTCGTATACTTAGTAAGCACTTCCGGTGGTAAACGAGCAAGCTTCCGTTCACGTTCTGTTTCTGCATTCAACTGACGAGTTAGCGAGCTCAATCGCAGCGCTTAAAATAAAAAATGTTTTGCAAATTATAACTGAAGCTTCACCCGCATGCGTAAACAAGTATCACATAAGCAGTTCATACCTTGTACCACTTTCATAGAGTACAGAAGTCTAAATTTGGGTATAAAGAAGGCCAAACAAAAATACTGGAGCATTTTAAAATTACACATTTATAAAAAGGTAAAAAGACTAAGGATACTGCAACTTTTTAACATGATAAATTAGATGATAATGACTATATAGAATGACAGTTTAAGTTCAAAAATGGCACTAAGATAATGCTACACTTTATTGCGCACTCATCAAAGACGGCGATAGTCAATAATGAAAGTGAAGTATTGCGAAATTAATTTTGATAACTCCGCAAATCAGATGGACGTAACTGAAAATACGTCATCCTAACAAGATTAATCATTAATTAAATATGAACACCATATCTAATGAGGAGAAAGGAGAAGTACATATCTCAAAAGGCTAGCACAATACCATTTTCAAACTGCCAAGTCTGGCAATAATTTCAAGTAATAAAACTTTTCTTCTAATATAAAAGAACATTCCAGAAGGAAAATCGTAGAAACCCTTAGATTTCTAAATAATCTTAGCAAAGTCATCTCGAAGTTACTATATATTGGAAATATCGTGAGTTTATCCGAAATAAATCACATAAGGACTCACTTCCTTGAGAAGGCTGCAACGTATCACTGGCATCGTCAAAAAATGAAATCAACTGTTGTCCACGAGCTGCGCCGAAAACACTCGTCTGGAAAAATACATATAAAACACTCCAATTATAGAGCTACCCACGCTTCCAATACGATTTTTTAGAGAGCAATACAAAAAGTTTCAATAGAATTTCATTTCAGAAGATATAAGACATCGTTTAAAGACATCAACAGCACCATAATCATAAACAGAAAATCTCACGGGAAGTTAAGTGTTCTAATTATATAACTTTTAAATTAAAGCCGTTCATCTGCACAGCGGTCCATTGTCATACCACTTTCACTTTAAACTCAATTTTTTGCTTGCTGCATTTGGACCCAACAACAAAAACAACATCGAAAAGCGAAAATCCCCCTCAATTCAGAGCTGATTTATGCTACTGCCATATCATAACTAAACTATTCATCATTTGCGCTCAGAGATTTTCTATAATTTATATTGCAAAGAATATAAAAAAATTTAGATAACAAGGGAACATCTTACACCTCGCTGTATGCCTTAGAATGTTGAGGTGACCTAGAGAAACGAATAGAAAACTGTATTCCAATATGTACCCCAGCAGCTGGATTATATTTCATTACGGAATAAACAGACTTGCACCAATTAATATGATCCCTCAGTCTCTATAAATTTTCGTTCATCGTTTTTTGTGTAGAAAAATGCCTTGTTTAGGACAACAATGCATAAGTTATCCCTTCGAAGACAGATCATTTGACATCCAATCATATATTGTGATTCCAAACACAATCTATTTGGTTTTTGAGTGCCTTTCAATGGCTTACAATGATGACAGCATTGATGGCACAGAGTCTAGTCTAATTCACCCTTTGGGTGAAAATTGAATTACTTGATATTGGTGGTGAAGAAGACGCTGGGTGATTAATATATGTGATAATGAAATTGAGACAAAAATGAGATAAATTTATCTCATCTCATTATTGACCATTTTGATGAGAACAGACAAAACATTGCAAAACGTTAACTAATCCAAATTCATTTTTGGTTCGTGTTATCCTTTTGTTAGCAAATGTAATCCTATGAAAATAATTACTTGTTCATGACATTAATAGATTTAAATGAACCTGTGTGTTTTTGAGATCATTTATTGGACCGGTTTGTTCACGTTTCCCCAAAAAGGTATCAATATCACTGCTAAATAGCGCACCCGATGATGGTGCTTCGCTTTTTGGCAAATCCAGTTGTTTCCCTATAAAAAAGAGTCCCTTTTCAATATTCCTACGACAAATTCGATTAGGGCTTCAAATCTGCCAGCAAAAATTTTCCGAAAAAAATACGTTAAAGTTGAATGCATAATATATATAACAGGTACAAGAGTTTACCTAATTCTTTGGCTCCTTTCTTGCAGGAAAATGAATTTTCAATTCCCACTTGGGGCATTGTAGCATGCTGAAATATGTGACGCCAAATCAAAGTACTGAGTTAAAATATTCCTGACACTTAATAAAGCATCCAAAAATCATTTCCAGTTGCAAAAATCTAAACAGCTGCACTATTCAAAACACAAAAATATGCACTTCACAAGTTATAGTTAGAACTCATCAATATATATACCAAGATATATCAACGCATATTTGAAAAAAAAAAATAAGTTGAAGGACATTTCACAGAAAAAATAAGAAAGATAATTCACCATTCCAATCCCATCAAGCATGCTTGCATTTGTTTGCGAAATAACATTTTTTGACGACTGGAACTGATGGGCTGTATCACGCAAAACTCGTTTTGGCACATCCTCCTAAAAAGTAGAATACACAGAAAAAGCTGCGCATAGAAAAATCAGGAAAACTAAAAAATGAACTTCAGAATTATTTACATGTTTTCAATAATACAAAATCACAGAAACAAAAACTGCCAGCTTGAAAGAAACATTAAGCATAAACTACAGTTAGATGTTTTTAAGGCGAATTAATGTGCAACATTTACCATGCTTTCTAAACCGAACTTTAATGTGGTGTTCTGTAGCAGTGTTGTTTCCGCTTCCTGTTCTTCCCATTTTCCCAAAGTTGGTTTTACTATGGGCTTCAAACCTTAATAGGTAATTTTACAATGATGCTAAAGAAATCCGTAAAACGTTGAATTTATCAAGTCTATACCATTATCATTTGAAATTCTCTGTTGTTGGATTCTAACTTATAACTTACTAAAGTAAACTAACCCTCTTCCATGTCCTTCAAAACTTCTTTTCGCTTCTTTAGAATCTTTTTCCGAAGTTCGCCCTCACTAAGTTCATCGGAAGTGTGTTCATTAACTGAATTGGGTGTACTTGATGATGGACTACGACGCCGACGCTTTCGTTTGCCTTTTTTCGATTTTCGCGATTTACGTTCAGCAGGAGACTGCGAATCACTCTAAACCCTAGCAAATAGTTACAGTTCTTTTTACAGTTCTAAAGAAGGAAAAATCTAGAATTTCTATTCATATCAGTTAGATCAACAATTTTTTATTTTTCACATGCCTTACTCATTAATCGCGTTTCAAGTTGCATAGCTGAGTAGTCACACGATTTTAAATTGAAGAGAATTTTACTAATTTCTCGAAACCATCTTTAAAAAATAGTTTTTTTTTTTTTTTTTTTTTTTAAATCTTCCAGCTAATATTGAAAATAATCTTCGGATATCTCACTGAAAAAATATTCCCAAGCAAAAAAATTTCTAAAAATACTTGCAATATCCTACAACGTAATGCTGTGCTCTGAAGTTTTCATTTGCAATCTTTGAAGTGTTAATTTAATTTTAATATCAAAATTAACTTTACTTCACATTATTCTTTACATTGCATTTTCGTCAGATTAATTTTAGAATGAAATAGACACTATGGTTATTTAATTGTGAATAAATACTATGGTTATTTTGATGTGAAAGGTCATAGTTTAATAAAATCCCCGGCTAAACCCAATATTTTAATCTATATCATTCTGTCAAACATAACTGATATATTAGAATAACAAAACAATAACCAACCAAGCTCGATTTCTTTGGTTCTACATCGTCAGATTTTGCATTTGGTGGAGGAGGTAATGGTGGAAGTGGCGGAGTATCACCTTTTTCAATAGCCTAAAAAATTTTGATGTAGACAGTAGAAAAACTAACCAGCTTACATAATATAACTTGAAACATCAATATTCTTAAGTTCAGAACGTAAAGAAAAAATGATAGCATGTACTGTGCTACCCATATTTGTTCAGTACTTTTGCACAAAATTTGGTTTGAGTAATGAATGCAATACATAGTCGGGAATACAAATTAAAAGTTTAGAGACAATACGAAACTGTGACCTCTCGCTTAAACTGTGGAGATGGAGCTGGTGGGACAGCTGAGGAAGAACGTTCATGAGCCGGTGCCGAATATGAAGAATTGCGAGATTGAGAACGGTGAGATTTTTCACTATGCCGACTTTTGAGACTACCAGGGCTTGCTGAACGTTCATGTGATGAATGACGCTGACCACGACTTGGTGATCGTGACGAACTAAAAACAATTCAAATTGATTTCCAAGACTACAACACAGACTGTAAAAAACAGCTTTACTGAAAAAAAGCGGTAAAAAGTGCATTTACTAATGAACAAGTTCAACAAAACGCAATGTGCTGATGACGTTCAAAAAAAAGGAAAAAAATGCAATGAACACCTGGATGAGCGAGACTTTTTAGAGCCTTCATCATCTGATGAAGCGCACTTTTTTTTGCTTCCTTTATCATAATCATCATCATCTCTAAAACAAATGTTTTTCAACTTTATAGCTGAAATTTTGCATAAAATCCATCACTTAATCAAAATAAACTGACTTCATTCTCTCTGCAGAAAATTTAAAGAGAGAGGCAACAATAAATTAAAAAAGTACCATTACGTGCAACGAAAAATGATCACCAAATAGACGTGCTGTTGGCACGAAAAAATTTAGTTCGCTTTTATATCCTGATTTCGTATATACTTCAGTGAATATTTTGAGACCCTAAGCTTGAAAGTAATGAAAGTAGTGGTATTTATTCACAGCTTATTATGTAAAATCTTTATACCTATAATCATTTCTTGACGAACGATCGTAGCTAGTACGATTGCGACCACTATAACCACGATTACGAAGAATTTTAGCAGGTCGAAGACCTGCAAGAATATTTTTTCAAAAGAATCATAATATTTGCTACAATCGTCATTCGCTGTACAATTCACAATTCAGATAAATGTTTTAAATAAAAATCTAGCTAACATTGTTGTTATGGAAAGTAAACGTTTATTACCTTGACTTTGTTGATATGACACATAGCGCCGAATATCCCGAAACCACGTCATTTCAACTGGGTAACCAAGAACATCACCATCTTTGTATCTGAAATCCAGTTCAAACAAAAAGTTCAAGCTTTTCTAAAATTTCTAATTTAGTAGCATACGAGAAGTCATTGTTATGTAAAAAGAAAAGTTAAAATATACTTGTGCATGCATTCTTTTGCAGCATCGCGCGTTTCGAAACGAACGGCCACAAATAGTTTCAGTTGATCCTGTGAAAGCTTGATAAAGTCAAATGAGCATGGTCCAACATGGTCTTCGAAAAAATCCCTGAAAAAAATATGGATGGAGAGATAAATATAGTAAGACTGGTATTCAAGCCAATGAAAAGTAAAATATCAAAAAGTTTCAAAAAACTTTGGCAAGACAAAAAATCCTTGCTTCAATTCGTTTTACTTACCTTAGTCCAAATCGACAATGTAACAAGAGTAATAACCAAGAGAATAAACTGGTATTTTTGCAAATTCCCTACTCAAAGGTAAGCACATGGTAACTGCGCCAGCACAAAGTGTATTTCTCCACAAACAAAATTCAGCCAAGAGAGTAAGATTCGATGAAAATGTTGCTGTATGTATGACAATAATTCATTCAAATAAACCAGAGATTTCCGCCTTATCGTTCCAAAAAGAAGAGTGGAAGTAACACATACAAGTATTTCAAGATAACACAAAATTTAAATCTCGCCTGTAATAACATCAACAATTTGATCCATTGATTACCTTTTTTTTTACCGTAAAACTGCATCTCGAGATAACAGATAACAGAATAAAGCACCAGCAGAAGGTTCGGAAGTAAATGTAGAGTAAAGAAATTACCAGTCTTTTTATACAAGGTATTCTGATGAATGCACATCTGGTTTAGATAATCAGACACAGGAAGGAAAACAGACTTCTGCCTTTCTTAGCCATTGTTTCTGATCATACTCATACTTTTGCCCCTAGACCATGAGAAGTAAAACAATTTTTTATTCTTTACTTCCCCTTATGTCACTTCGATGAAATTTCTAATAAACATTTAATATTTTTTAAATTTTTGTTATGGATAAAAATTTTAAGGCAGCTTACTTCACTTCATCCGTTTTAATATGTCCAGGAAGGCCTCTAATAAATACGGTGTGCTTGCTTTCAGGAACTTCATCTTGATCGATACGATCAAAACGTGGTCCATTCCGATAATAACCATTCATATCTGAAAAAAACACCGAAACGATATAAATGGCAAAAGTGGCGAAACTATGATAAATCTAATTTCAGAAAAAATGCCAATCGTAAATCAAATAACATTTAAAAACTTGAAAAAAACAATGACCTGAAAATTGCGAACGGTACGAAGGATTAGTGATAAAATGGGTGAAACTGATACAGTTAACTGCCGCCGATACAGCACGTAAACAATACGCACTCCTTACAAATCAAATTCCTGAAAATTTTGGAATCTGCGGTTACTATACTGTAACCGATAAAGTTCTAAAAACGTTAACCAGACATAATTTTGATAAAAAAGATAAAATACTAGTTTAGGACTTGAAAACTTCTGAAATGTTATTTTGAATTCCTTAAGAAAAAGTGCAACATTTTACTGCCAAAAATTTTCACTAAAAATCCTCAAGGCGAAAAATCGTCGCAGTTTAAATTTAAAGGAAACAGGAGTAAAAAGAGGACAAATCACAGGAAAAAGTTCAGTAGCAACACTTCGCAAACAAATTTTTTACAGCCAATAATATAAAAACAGAGAGAGGCACAATGCGCAATTAATCTGATTTGCAAATCGTAAATTGTACGTAACTTCAAATAAGTCTTCTAGTGTAGTCACATGATGTATCGTACTTTTTACTTTTTAGACACTGATTCTCAGAAACTCAATTTACAGAAGTTAACACCCGGAATATCTGCTTCTTCGAAAGATGATGTTTGCAGTACAACGAGCTATAACCCAAGGAATTGTCAAGCCATCAATAGGAGCCATACCTATCGATAAACATAATCTCTAATCGCCAGCATGCAATGTTATTGCATGATCATCGATTCGTCTTATAGACAAAGATAATTTGCCACAAAAAAAGGATAATCACTAAAAATTAATGTTGCTCAAATTTGCAGTAATTCATTGAAATTTAAATACATCCCGATTTTCTCACATAAGCAAGGGGTCCGTACATTACTGAAAAAGTAAGTAGTTAGCAACGACAAAACAAGTAAAAACAAAATAATCAAGTCCCTGACACCCAACCACAATGTCATTCCACAGTGATAATAATGCTCATTCAATACAGAGTTGCTGATGATGGCTGAGTGATCTGTAGATAATCAGTTAGGATATTTAAGATGGAAACCCAATTCAAAATTCATACAGTAAAAGAGTTAAAACATATTTATTCATACTGCAATGAATAACAAACAATATGACCGAATATTTCTTTGAAACAAAATGTAAATAATTAGGAAAATTACCCAGCTATATTATGAATACACATATAATACAAAAGTATAAAAATTTTTCACGCCAAGAAAACGAAGCGATTTAGAGAAACGAAAAATGAACAAAGATAACGATCTACTAGGGCATGCAACAGCAACAGGTTTTTGCCGTACAATGAAGTGGTAAAAAAACATTAGCACCAATAAAATCCTAATAATATTTGCTGTCTTAATAATATTATAGATAAGGAAGGCTAATAAGCATCAGCAGATAATCTATGCTCAGTTTTTTTTTTTGTCAGCAAAATTTAATGTGGCAGTAAACTGTCAAACATCGATCATCCAGAAAGAACAAGGAACCCGAATACGTAATGATCAAAAAAAGATTAAAATGTAATATTGACAATACGAATGATCTGGAAATAATTCATGAAGCGATCTACTATAAAATTGTATTAACTAAGACAAGAACCAGATAAAATAATGAACTGTAATCACCGCAACTATAACCAAAAAAAAGCCAATATAGTAACATCGAAGCTGTTACAACGTCTCATGTGATGATTAAAAAAAAGATGAAATTCACTGTTTCAGAAAGCTAATTTAGCAGTTTTCAAGAACTTCATTTCGATAATTAGTTGGTCACTGCTTAGAAATATATATATCGTTTTTTCCAATTTGCTGCAAACCTCTGGCTTCCACAAGTCAGCCTAAAAATAACTACTATTTTCTGCGCCTTACATTGAGCATTCTTAGCGTTTTTATCATCAACGCTCCTTTTTTCGGTATCATTTTCTTCTTTTCTGAGTGCGAACCTAACGAAGAACTGGTGTTTCTAATTGCTTGTGGTAGATTTGTCAAGGCTTCTTTGTTTCCTGCAATATGTTATATAAAAGGTACATTACAAGCTAATTAATAGTGCCTTCTCAACTGAGATGTTTTCATTTAATCACAATACTAAAAATCTATTCTTGAAATGAAAACAAAAGAGTAGTCGAGAATCCCAGGAAACAGAATAACTAGATTGACATACGATCACAACGGTTTGGTTTAAGGTGGATTCAGCATAAAAAACTACAAACGGTGTATAAAATCTACACGATAATAAAAATGTAATGTTCAGTTTCAAGCTACAAATATTATAATACGCGGTTATAAACTGAAAAATCTGAAATACCATTATTTAAAACGTCCTTCCTAAGGAATCTCTTACAACCGAACAACAAACTGCAAAAAAATTTTCAGAACCTATCCTTAAACGGATGCAAGCGAATCCGAATATAGCAAATAAAATATAAGTATAAAAAGGCATGGCAGAGAGTAACCTTTATCAAAAATTTCCTTGCGTGCTTTTGAAATCTCATTAGCAGATGGTAACGGATGGCTAGCATGCTGAGTGCCATAGCGTATTTGCCGACGACGGACATCACGTGGGGCCTTTGCATCCGCAAGCAGCGCAGTTTTCACCGGTGCTGTTGCTTCTCGATTATGCTGAGTTATTTTTGTTGAAAGCAACTTCAGTTTACGTTCATTTTCTTCACATAAGCGCTACAATGCAATAGTTTTTTCACTAGCAAGCGATAAATGATAACTAGTATCAGTTAGTAGTTGAAAATTCCTTACACATTAACTCAACACGGATTTGCATGAACCGTTCCATATTTTTAGAACAACATCTGCATCCCCATTCAATCAAATATGCTACGGAACAAAATAAAATAAAAACTAACATAATAACATTCTCGCCATGTTTCGTCAGCTGTTGTTTCACATTTTGGAAAAGCACGATTTACAATCCGCTCCCACAACTCATCACTATCTTCCATTAGTTGCTGTAGAAAGAAGTACTAATCATTTTATTTCAATTTTATTTCTATGAACTAAAAAAATTATTTATCACTACTGTTTCTCATGCAAATTATCCAGCTAAAATTTATACTTCATTACAACTTGTTTCATTATGATTACCGGATTTCGCCTTTCAATCAAACATAACTGATTCAAGGAACATTTCTCAAGCACTGGTTTCAGCAGAAAATATGGCGTGTCGCCAACTTCTTCAATTGCTGAAAAAATGATTATGTGGAATGACTACCAATGGCAGTCGGGAATAGAATTTTTAATTCACTTCAACTATTTGATACAATTGACCAATACCAATACGTCAGCTACAATTTACAAAATTATAAAATTCTCTGGTACAAAAAAAAGAAGTAAATACGAAAAAAAATGCATTTACTTACAAATGTGCATGCAAAAAAAAAAAAAAAAAACTGTTAGAATAAAGAGCAGAACGAAAGTTTTCGTGAAAATGTATTAGTTTGAAATATTTCAAAGCATTTTAGGTAAGGGTGCAATTTTAATAGTTGGTATTCCAGTTTCCTGAACCTACAAAACCAATACCAAGCATTCAATTCATGGTGAACAAGTAGTATTTCAAACCCATCACACGACTTTGAAATGTGAAAAACAACTCACAATTAATGTTAGCAATTAATATTTTAATACATAAATTCTGCAACGTTGGCACCACCTTAGCAGTATCATTTCTCAGGCGTCCCGCATAGATTTTACACACTGATTTACGTGGTTTAAACATTAACGCATCCAACACAGATGTCTTGGACATGTCTGAAAAAGTGTTTCAATATTTTGAAAAAAAAAAAAGAAATGAAAAAGAATTAAATCCATTTAAAAGGCAGCCATTTTTGAAAAAACATCTAAAATTAGTGGTTTACATAGAATTCACATCTTTCTATGCAATTTTTTAACAAAAGTTGTCACAGTATTATGCACCTTCTTATCCTCATCCCGCCTAAACAATTGACATGAAACATAATAATGTAATTCGTACCGAATCCCAATAATATTAAATGTATAATCATTAACTAATTGAAGCCACCAAACACCATACCAGAATTGTGTTTTTTCAGCACGGGTTCAAAATTTAATATTTTGGATGGTTTATAGTTCACATTCACTTTCGATGACTTCCAATCATTACAATCAGTTCTCACTTTCTTGAGTTTAGGAGGTCTAACGTTATCAGCCCGAGCTAACATGTCTGCAAAGCTCAACCCCGAACAAGCATTTTTTAGTCCATTACTTGATGGCTGAAACAGAAGTGTATGATTTTGATATAAAAACGTTATGTAACTAAATTTCCATTCGAGAAAAAAAATTCCATATTATCCAATCGATGTCGTTGTATAGCAAGATTTACTAGAATCTTGCAACTTACTCAGAATGAACACTGAGCCCGAAAAAAGGAGAAACCCAAGAGCGATGAACTGTAATTCAAGTGGTTTAGTAAATAAGAAAAGTCTTTCGTACTCAGCGAATATAACTTACCCTAGTTTTATTACAGTGAACTTCATCAGCACAATCATCTGGTTCTTGCTCACCCTTGTTTTCTTTTTCCTTTCTCCGATTTCTTTTCTTCGACTTTTTTGGAGGATTTTCTCCTTCTGAACACGGTGAAAGAAATCGTTTCCTAAAATTTATATTTGCTAGATTACTCAAACCTTGCTCATCAGATGTTCTTATATTTACTCAAACTAATCTCTCCTTTTAAGTATTCTTTCTGGAAAACACATTAGAAATTACAAACTTCCGTTGTTTCAAGCCACAACTCCGTGCTATATCTTTCCATTTTTCGACGATTTGCAATGCTTTCGTGCCATACTGCTCGTGACTTCTCAATTGATTTACTGCTTTTCCCACTCCTGTCTCCGATAATAGCTCCAATGTCATATTAATGTTTGCTAAGCGTCTCAAAGCATGGCCAATCTGTAATGTGCTTGTCATCCCTGTTTATCCCGAAACATTTTGTGGTAACACATTTTGTGATGAATTTAACTTCAGAATGCTCTATACGATCTACCAATAAGTCTAGATTACATTAAACCAGATTACGAAATACACACAGATTTGCAAACATCTGCAAAATAAGGAAACAATGAAGCTTTCACCAACTTTATTATCACAGCTTAACATCCGTGTGTATTTCTCCACTTTTTCTCGGATCTCTCCGTCTTCATCACCATTCATTTCGGCAATAAGTGCTACAAAAAAAACCAAATGGATGTTTTGTTGACAAGTATATCTTATACTTACAAATGAGAAAATTGATTAGTCCCGACATAGCATATCACGCAAGAGATAAAAATCGATGAGGACAAAGTCACATTATGCAAATAGCACGTGTCTCCTTCTAGTCGCAGATCTCCCAATGAGCCATTTAGTAATTTTACTTAGATGTAGGTAGTGTGTGGTTATTTGCACAACTAACCAACGTGTAATCATACGTACCGGACATTACTCAACGTCCTGCACTGGATTTGCGGGAAAAGGTTGTACACAATATTGTAGCAAATGAACAAGTAAACTTTGTCCATCTCACTTCAAAATGGATTAAATAAAAAGTAGCCGGAGAGTGGCAAGTACACGACGCGCACTCGCACCCTGTTACAGATCAACCACTGACGCTCCCACCAAACCTCGAACATATCCAGTCACCCACTCCATATATACATACACACACAGCATGCACGCACACCATACACGCAGACACACACATGCACACCTATCGATTATTGTTAGAGCATGTATGGAGCGATGCAACAAGGAGAGATCGGAGGAGGGGTGACAATGCTCGCTGCAGTAGCGTGATCGGAAGAGAAGTCTCGAGATACCTTAGAATCGGGAAGATGAGGACCCCTGGTGTCAGATGAAGTGAGGTGACACATGTGACTGCATTCCTGTCTTCAGTGAGGGAAGCAATGATGAAATGAGAACTGAAGTGCAAACTTAGAGTCGTTGCAATCGCTGCATCATCCTAAAAGATGTGGTTGAAGCAGCTGGTGGATGACTGCTCCTATTGCTCTGCTTGAGATTGCTTAGCAATGTGATTTAGACTTTAGCTGTGCATCAAAATTCATTCCTGAATAACGTAAACAAATAAACGAATCCCTAAATATCTTTCAACTCTTTTTTGTTCTGTTTGTTCGCTTATGCAAAAAAGTCAAGAAAAAGAATTTATAAATATGCGAAAGTTTTGTTTTCTAGAAAGATATTGTGGAAACTTTCCGTACCGATAAGTTTGCATTTGATCCTAAACTTGGGCAAATGCTTTGCAGAAAGTGTAAGATGTTCAGAGTTTTCTGCAATTTTTGACACTGTCATGGGTATTCAAGCGTGATTTGAGGAACAGAAATGGTGGGAAGAACTCAAAAAATGCTACTTAAATAATACCACTCTTTGTAGAGGAAGAAAGTTTAATAATCGTTGGGATGGTTCCCATGATCAAAAGTGTGCTCATTAATGAAGATGACAGATATCCTCAGTTTATTCGGGCTTCTTCAATTTTAATAATCAAATGGGAAAAAAAGCGCCCTTGTTTGTCTTAATTTAGTGTGGGTAATTATGCTAGCTTATCACGTTTGTGTAAACTTAAAAATATCTTTGCTCGTTAATAACGTACGGCATTTGATGCAAATAAACTCAGAAGATATCGTGCAGCGAAGATTTAAGACCGAGATTTAGTGGAAATTGCTGCAAATTTTGAATTGTTTTAATCATAACATTGAATAAGTGTCCTACTGAGATAGAATCACCTTATAATTGTTTACTGGTCCTTTGTTTACTTTTTACGTTTATTACTTCTGTTGTGTTAGTGCTTGTTCTTATGCGAACATGACGCTTACCCATATCGATTTCCCCGTTTAGAATTAATAAGTTAGACAAAGTTTCCTTTCCTCTATATTAATGTTGTATATTATGACAAGAACTGCACATCTACTCACAGATGCATATTTCCTTACCTTTTATAATTTGAAGAGTGAAAAAAGATCAAAATGGATAGATGGCGAAACCTACATGACCAAACTTCATATGGTTCTCACTCGGAAGATATTAGAGAAGAAATTTAAGGTTTCAAATCCTTTTATTCATCGTTACTTATGCAAAAATTTCTCTTGTATGCCAATATTTACTAGAAGTATTTGTTATAGAGTGTTAAATATATAACTTTTGATTAATCAAGAGTTCATCCCAACTAACACTTAGTTCCACTGTCTCATCACTTCTCAAAGAATTCAAATCATTTCGATAAAAGTTCATTTATGTCATTTATCCCCTATCAAGTGTATTTGCTTCTATCATGTGCTTTTATTGTTACATACATTTTATTAATTTATACTCAAGCATATTTTAGCGACCATTTCTTTCATTAGCTTCTTTTTATTTGAGATACGTTGTGGTATTAAATGACAACGAGAAGTACTTTTGTTGTCGAGCCTACTTCATTTTATTTCTGCTTTTTCAGGTGCAAGCGAGAAAGTTATTTTTCTCAAATAGGTATTATTTACTTTCCTGTTTCAGTGCCTTTGTTTCATCATGATCTCTCTATCCAGACTTATTTCATGATTTCAAACTGTTTTTTTTTTCCTGTTGTGAAGCATTTATGCATACTTTCAGTGCAAATAATCATCAGTAAAGTAATTCTTTTTTTTACATAATTTTGAGGTTTGAGTCCCAATTTTCTTGATTGCAGCGTTTCTGCTACGCAAAATGAAGCTAATCTATAAAACGGTAATAGGAACAGTCGAAGAGTGAATAATAAGTTCCTCCTCCAACCCATTCTTTTAAGCATCTCTCATTCCTGTTGGAATTCTCATCTTTTCATTATAAAACTCAAACTTACATCAATTGTGCACTGAGTTACCGCTGAACATTCCTCACTGTATTATCTTTTTGTCTGGAATGAATTTCAGATTTATATGATAAAATCATTTCGCCGTGCCACGAGTCGAATGCATTTTACTCATTATGGCACATAAAACGTTGAAATTGTTTCCATGTATACCTATGTATTCAAAGGTATGGATCAACAGGAAAGATTACCGGTTAATAAATGAATGAGTGGATGAAGACAGGTAATCTATGTGTCAGTGGATGAATTATCTTATTGTGGCCTCATATGTATTAAATACACATTTAAAAAAAAAAAAAAACAACGATTTCAAAAATGTCACAACGACAGAAATTTCCATTCTGGGGATGATTATTCTCGAGAAGATTGCAGTCAATGTACAATTAAAATCCTGAGATTAACCAGATTTTTGTGCATTTGTTGAAATGCGTTCACATAATAACTGCGTAACTTTCTGTTCTGACAAAGATGTAGCGTATTTATTTTACTTTTAGTTTCATTCGCAATCACTTTGATTTTTGCAAGTTTTATTTATTGCTGTTGAAACTATAATAGATAGTTTTATCTTCTCAGCACATCCACCTGTAAGACTCTACCTTCTGCTTTTCCATTCCATCAGCAACTTAATCTATATATATATAATTGGATTATGTCGCGAGATACACTTCTAAAAGTTGTTTTAAACTGTGCGACTGTCGAATCTATTCATCAACAAGATTTGAACAAAACTGACAGCAAGAATTGCATGGTTTTCATTATTTTCACTTTTTAACCACTGAATATATTTATATTTTCCGACTATATGGTAATATTCCACAGATCTAATTGGCAAAGTTGGGTCTTGGAAGTTCACAGCTAGATATACTTCTGCTTATCCAAAATAGATCTATATTTTTTCCCCTTTTGCTGGTAGATACACTATGCCTATGCTAATAGTATAGTCAACAAAGCTAAAGCAATGATAGTGTGAGAATTGCAGCGAATGATATTGAAAACTAAATGAAGTTTTAAAACGATTTTTCCACTTCTTTCATAAAAGCTTTGTTTGTTTGCAATAGTAATGGTTGCTTACTCAGAATTTTTCTCACAACTAACTTTTTAATTATCATTTTTCTCATTAGATATTGACATTCACTAGGCTACACTGAGGTCAAATGATCTTGACAACTTCAAGGAATCATTCAGACTGCATTGATCAGCTACTACTTTTAAGCCCAAAAGTGTTTACGGAAAATATTCATGGCATTCAATTACGATGTGTTTGAAGTCATATACTCTGGATACTTCCTTTGGTTGCGAGTTAAATGCAGTTTCTCTCTCTCTCTCTCTCTCTCCTCAGAAGTTACTATTGAAATCCTCTCCCGACTTGACCTCATATCTAATGAAATTACAGACGAACATCGGCGGGCTAAACGCACGGTCATCAGACAGTAGCTTTACGTTTGACTAAAGATATCTTTGAACTTTGAAGTTAAAGTATCAATGAATGAAGAATTGCTTTTCAACTCTTGTTCATCAATTTAAACAAAATTTCCAAGTTCGGTACTAATTTTGGAATTTAATAATATTCCAGAATGAATCTAAAATGCGTTCGAATCTACATCATCCTGTTTATACTGTTAACGTTGCAAAAAATATTCTACATTATTTTTTCTCTCACGTTTTTTTGAATTAGTGAACTGGTTAAAAATTAGTGCGGCAAAAAGATTTTCAATCAATTTTCCAGTTTCGGAAAACTGTGGGGAAAAATTAATGCGAAAAAATTTTGATATTTTGAAATAAATTGCACGCTGATATACTGATATATTGCACGCCATTATCAGTTATAAAGTATTTTCAATACTTTATATTACAAACAGTTATGAAGATACCAAACACGAACATAGATCGCTTTTATTTTGTAACATCTGCTATCACTGGGATATTTCGCCTATTTGTAAGATCGTTTTTCCCAGTATTTGTTTTCTTCAGCGTCACTATCTTTTTCAGCTAAGGTTGGTATCATAGTCGTTTTGTTTCCCACTAACACTGATGACAAAACACAAAACCGTGACTATCAACAAGGTAAGCATTGTATCCAACTTGTTTCATTTCGCATCTCCTTGCAGTTAACTCATTATCACTCTTGTCACTCCTTTTATGTTCCCATACCCGTAGCAGAAATGTTCCCCTAGTACTGTTATCTCTAGCAATCCTGTCGATCATTTTTCTGCTTCTCCGTCCCGTACCTTACTGATCTGAGAGCACAAGCGTCCTTTTTATTCTAGAAAGTCAGTAGTAATACTGTCTGGAGTAGCGCAAACGGAATCATCCAATAGCTGCTACTACAAATCTTTTT